GGGGTTGCTCTTTGTTGATCAGACTTGTTACTCTGTTCAACACTAACTGGGACCCTGAAGAGGTGTCTTCAGACTAGCGAATATCAACTGTTATGCCCGTCTTTAAACAGCATCAGCGTACTTTGTGCGAAAATCATCGAGGCATTAGAATTCTCCCTATTTGCTTCCGAACTACTCACAGGTACAATTCCTAGACTACTTGCTGTTCCTCGTGAGAGCCGAATTATTATTACTATATGTTGGCTTCCGCCCTGGTCGTGGTTACATCGGCCACATATTTACTCTCCGACGAGTTAGTACAAAAACACTTAAAGAAGACCGACTGTCGTTGGTTTCTTTGAGTTGGAAGGCGCCCACGACTCTGTTGATCGAGACGGCATGTGGCACTGCCTATCCGTGAAAGGCGTGTCAACTAGACTGCTTTTCACTCTGAAGTCCCTCTACCGTGACTCCCTGGACCTTGTAAATGTTTACGAGTTCCCCTCAAACGACTTTTGCCAGGGTTTTCAACTGTATGTCCTCTCCTCTTAAACTTCATGATCAAAATGATTATGAATAACTCTGTTCTTTCAGACTCTTCCGGAGTAGATGTTCTGCCAAACGTCTGACTGATAAAACGTGAGTATACGGACGACATAGGTCTCCTTGATTCTGACATAGTGGCTGTAAAAGCACTACTGCATAGATTAACGCTTAGCGCTTCGTTCTGTGCTTTGCATGGTGTTGTTGCATGACTGGATAGACACACCTCTGGCTCTAGCTATTAGCGAGCAGCCACTGCAAGTGGTGGATCGATTCACTTACCTTGGTAGCTGTGTCACCTCTGGTGGTCATATCAGTGAAGAAGTTGCTTCGCGTATCAGAAGGCCCGTATGGCTTTCCAGAGACTCAACCATCTGTGCAGACGGTGGGATATCAGCTTGTCAGTGAATGGTAGGGTGTATACAGCGGTTATATGGCCGATGTCACTGTATGGCTCAGAGACTTGACCATTTCACAGTGTAGACATTAAGCGAATGACTGTGTTTGATCATCGGTGTTTGCGGAGTGTTACTCGCGTTTGGTGGGAACACCTGGGGAGCATTGCTGAAGTCCGCCACTTGGTTTCTGGTAAAAAGTCTTCTGATACCTCACTGTAGTGTTTGCTCAAGGTTAACGGCCTATGTTGCTTAGGTCATGCTTCCCGTATATCCGTTGTTCATCTTCCTCGATATACATTATATGCTGTCGCTGCATCTAGTTGGACGAAATCGCGAGGTAGCCAGTTGATGTCACGACATAAGTGCATGAAGTAATTGTTTGAGAGACTTCAATAGGCAGCTGCCTGCCGTCTTCGTGGTTGTTGTCCCAGGATGGCCCACATTGGTAGTTCCAGACTCTATCAGGCATTGCACAGTCACTCAGTCAGTGACATTCCTGCATTCAGTTTCTTTGTAATCAGTTAATATTCCGTCCAGATTAATGTTACTCCTCATTTTCTCATGGTTGTTCTGGTGACGTGAGTCGTGGCAACTGAATCCACCGCACTTCAGTGCCCGGATCCTATTTGTTCAACTGAATTCCATCGTTCTGCTTATTCTCTTGGGCTGTTTACAAACTCTCCTTGCCCAAAGGAATATATATATATATATATATATCACTTGAGCAGTACACATCTAGCAGAGTGCCTCAACACGTGAGTAACAACAACAATAGGGTGGAAGAGATTCTGCGGAGTGGACGTGAAGATACTTGTGTTGTGTGGACAGTGAGCTTCCCGGTCGCCCAGGCCGAGTAAGTGGGTTTACTTAAAGACCGCCACCCCGCGCCTTTGGTTTTAACAACATGACCGTGCAAGGCAGCATGGCGAATACGAAGACCGTTTACAGTCACATGGCTCATTCGCCTTCTTTGTGTTCGGTTGCAGTCCACCTAGAAGCCGGTGGCTTACAAGATTGTTCATCCGCCCTCCGTTAGATACTCACCTTCAATTACAGAAGTGAGTGATAAGTGACATTATTGCCGTCATATTAGCTTTGACACAGTGCCGTACGGGATCTTGCGGTATTCGTTGGAGAACCAGGTGACCCACCCAGAAATCGAGACTCTGCCGCTGATTGCGACCGCTTATTCATCTCGCCTGCAAAGCAAACGAGAATTATTCGAAGTTACTTCCACAAGGGAGGCATTCCCCGATCCGTAACCTGGGGACGCGCCCGATAGCGTATAGCTCCGCCACGGGCTTCAGTTTGTATATGTGGCAGTGAAGTCATGTACAAGGGTTGCGGAATACTTCCAACGCAGTCTAGTCTGCAAACAGTTCAAACCTGTCTACAATCCAACTACTCTACCTCTATTCGTTTGACATACGCACGAAAGCCCGCGTGAATCATTCGAGCTGTTTATCCGCCTAAACCCTTCCCCCCGCTTGACTTTGCCTTAAATCCGGCTATTCGGTGACTTAAATCCACTTTGTAAAGCTTGACACGGACATCATCAGTACGCCGGTACACCGTAACGACACTTCGCAGCCACGCGGCCACCATCGATCAAGCGTGGGCTGGGGTTATACCTCTAGGTCATCTGTGCCTACGCTGATTCGAACCGGTAACCTGTGGATTGCATGGTAAGCGCGTAATCCCTTCGGCTACTGCTCGACTTCACTGTTCAACCGAATGGTTTGTGCTAAGCTTCGTCTTTTCTTTGTGTGCTCTGTGATCGCTTAAACAGTTAACATTGCGTCTTGTTTGTCCAGGTACTCAACATACTAACTTCACACGTACGTAAACTGCTGAAATTCTTCAATCATAATCAGTCTGATCTCAGTTGCCTCTAAGGTACTCGCCTCCCTCATTCTTCATATACTTCTTGGCACGTGTGATAGCCAGATTCGCGAAGCGCAAGACGGCTTTCGTCGCAGTCGCGGCTGTATCGATCACATCTTCACATTACGTCCATTGTTGGCGCAATGTATTCTTGTTCCTCGACATCAAAGCTGCCTTCGATTCGGTTGATCGCTGTGCCCTTTGGGACTTTCTACTCAGGAAACATGTGCCATAAGAATATTTAACCTTATCAAAGCGCTTTAATCGCATAGTTCGGGCAGAGTGATGGCTTAGGGCAAGGTGTCGCCACCCTTCGATAGCTTCAGCGGTGTGAGACACGGATACCGGCTGTCACCTTTCCTTTTTAACTTCACCACTAACTAAATCATGAAAACTATGTTCACTGGACATGATCTGCAAGGCGTGAAGCTACTCATAGCTGAACGACTCCTTGACTTGGACTACGCCGACCACGGTGCCCTCATATATGACAGCTTTCAATCATTCCAAGCAGCACTGGACAAATTAGCATTAGCTGTCAGTCGTTTCAGGCTATGGTTTGCACCCTCGAAGTGCAAAATCCTTTTCCAAGATTGACAGGGACCCAGCACTGCACTGATCCTTGTCGTTGTTTAGCTAAAAGCCGTTCAGGAATTCTGGTACCTAGGCAGCTATCTTTGCGCCCGTGGGATCGAAGATGAGGTCACCAACCTAATAGCAAAACCTTGAGACGCTGTTGCCAATCTCCACCATCTGTGGCGCCCGTGCGACATTACTCTCATCCTGAAGAACATAGTTTACAATGCAGCCGTCCGTTCAACATTGCTCTAAGGTTGCGAAACCTGGCCCTTCAAGTCAACCCACATAAAGAGACTAGTCACCTTCGATCATCGCTGCCTTCGCAGCTTAGGTCATATCTGGTGGGGGCACCACATGAGGAATGTGCGTGTTCGGCGTCCTGTATTTCGTGCAGCATGAACGACTGAAGCACAGCACGGTTCTATCACGCACCAAGCCCCGATGGCTGGGCCACGTGATGCGCCTTCCAGCCCATCGACTCCCGCGACGTGCGTTTGCACTTCAGGCGTGTGGATGGAAGAAGAGGAGAGAAGGCCAAATGATGACTTGGTCAATAGAAATGAAAGCCCTCACTTCGAAGTTGGCGTCGGTTGGTGCATGCTGACTGCCTGGCTGGGGTCCGAAGGGCAATGAACACGTCTTGTTGGATACACTGGTTGATCTGACAAGGAGCCGACCTCAGTGGCGTTTGTGTTGTGTGTATCTTTGTCCGTCCTTATCCCGCTTATCTTCCCCCTCCAACCACGATCTCTCTCCTGACGCATACTATGTTACTAAATGGTGTGTGACCTATATTTTGCATTGTATGATTTTCAGTACCTTGCTTTTTCATGTGTCTTATCTTTATGTATTGCAGCACAATAGTTGAAGTTTCTTACGTTCAACTAATGTGTAGTGGTGATGATCAATTCAGTTTCTTCCACTAGAATTTAGTTCCTCCTTGCTGTTTGAGAAATACAGTCTAGCTGGTCGACCGGCTATCTCAGGCGTTTCACGCCATTTGGCTCGGTCATTGTCGTTTTGAATATCCTTTTTCGTTACCACCTCATGTGTTTCTCTCTTTCATTCTACTTGTGGTAGCATGTACGTGGGTTGAACTGAGAGAAGGCTGTCGACTAGGATTGTAGAGCACATTCCGCATAATATTTTCATGAACGGTCCAAAGCTGCCAGCAATCTCCATTGCCCAGCACACTCTAGACTGCTCCCTATGTCATGATCCTCGCGAATCGTTCAGGATAATTAACTGACAGACCATTGCTCGCCTGCTACAGTTTGCTGAAGCTTCAGCAGTTTGGCGGCTGAGTTTATGACCAGCCTCCCATTGCCTTGGTAAGGTTCTTTGTTTGCTTCATACTTAAATTGGATGACCTTGAACTTTGCTTTTTTTTAAACGTCACTATTATTCCACGGATTGTATGCTAACAGCTAGTGAGAATACCCGACATAGCTGAATCCAGAGAATCCGCTTGAAATGTTCGCTCTTGCTGTTAAAATTTGTCAAAGGAAAATGCTGCATGAAATATTCTTTTTTCTACTGCATACCACTGTGCATCTGACTAGGTGAACCACTTCCCCCATACTCCTCATCACCTCTACATTCCACCTTTCGCAAGCAGACATGGTGTCGAAACCTGCAATTCGTCACTTTGACTCCCACCACGGCCCGTTCGTTAGGCCGAGAGCACCGAGCATCCATCAATCCGTTTCGACGATGGCTCGTTGAACAAGGTGTTTGTACTGGAAGTGGCCATATCCAACCACCAATTGTGATCTGCCTTCCAGACCTGGATACTTGGGCTAATGCATCAAACTCCGATATGGAAGATAGTGAACAAGCGTATGATGACGAGGACTCAGGTGGTCGACGGGCACTATCCACTGGAAGCAGCTTATTTCAACAGTTCTACTCTGCCATTGATAGTGGTGATCCTATGTCAGCTGATTCGGTGCGCAATACGTGTGTCATTGCTACGGCCACCACGACAGACGGCATTCTCCGATCCCCGGAAGGAAGGCAGTTATTTTTCCGTCAAATCCTAGTCCCATTACCTGATGCTCACACGAGACATTGCATTCTACGGCAAGAAATTCTCATGCGTGTGCACAATTCTTCTCTCTGTCAACAGACTGGCGATATGTTACTGCCGGATATGAATGGCTTCCCTCAACTCGAGGAAAAATCCGAGCAACTGTTGAATTTGGCTTCCAAACTTCATGGATACACTCCAAGGTTAGTGTGTCTTTTCTTGTTGGGACTCCGACACTACCTCTGGTGAACTGCTTGTGTTTCGTGTTTTCACCCAAAACTTTTGGGTGTGAGCTGCGCGATAAGTTGCGCCGATGGTTAGAATTCTTATTGGACGTGCTACAGTCGATAGTGCCGTGAATTCGGATTCATACACCTAAAAGTCAACATTCCACCGCTTTTAATTTCACTTACATTTTTCTTTTTCCAAACTACGCACCTGCATTTTCCACTCAGTTGGCGTTTTTATTACAGTTATCTGTTTCGACTACCGTTCAGGTAGTCCTGTACTGACGTAACAGATGTCCAACAAGGGTTCTCAAATCTGATACTTGGGTCTCTCGGCTAAATGAAATATTCGGGCTTTGTCCCAGTTTGTTTAACCATCTCCACATTGAGCACGCTTCCGTCTCGCCTCGTATATCGATACATCGCTTTTCGGAATGACGCGATCGCTTGTTGATTTTATTGACAACCGGATTTTCACTCCCGATTGCCTCCGGCGTTTGCAATTGGAACCGCTGTTCTCGTTCATTTTACTGCAGTCGAATAGCTTATATGGTTGGCGGCATCCGGTTTCCGATTTGCCCGTTACTGTGGCCAGCCATAGAATGCCTAGGTGGCTTGCGCTGCACCACTCATATCTTCAGCCATATACCCCATATCCAGTGTAAACCCGAAGGAATAAGACCGGGAGGCATGTGGATGGAAATCCACGTTTCATCAACAGAGAACACCAACACTCCTTCACAGGCAAACACAAGCACGCTGCATTTGAGCATCAACCGCACACTGGGCCTTGGCTGGACCGTAGTCCGCTCCACACTGAGTGCATGGAACCACTATTTGATCATAACACGGCCACAATTACCGTGCTCCCCGTCCCATCCAGCAACGACCAACTGTCCTTTGGAGCCAGTATGGACGAGGTAGTGGGTAATAGAGAGGTAGGCACCTTGTCAACATGTATATCAATCACAGCCACACCGGGGATGTCAAACAACAGCCAATCACTTCAAATGACATTATCAAATAAAATATATCAAGTAAAGAATACGGCTAAGCAGACAAAACTCTTCACTAAATTAGCATATAAAGTTGCTTAGCAACGAGTCCGCGATAAGTACAAAATGTCCAGAAGTTACTCAAAAATGTTACAATCAAGTTAACGAAGATAACCACACTTAGCGTAAGCAACCTGGCCAGTGCTTTTCCGGGCGTGTGACGGCTGTCTAAGTGAGTCTAAATGTGACGAACTTCTACCTATACCATTCAACTCCCCCTACTACTCTTCTCTAATAGAAGATTGTTCAGGTAGGCAGAACAAGCCAAATAATGTAGAATGAAATTTATCCGGCTTAAAAACACCTAGTTTAAGGGTACTTTGGTTGCGCCCAACTGCATTGGGGATGCATCATGCAACATCAGCCTGATCATGGGGCACAAATAGCCTATATATATATATATATATATATATATATATATATATATATATATATATATATATATATGTGTGTGTGATTAGTAAGCTTCCCGGTTACACAGGCCGAGGGAGAGGGACCGTACCTCGAGTCTTTGGTCATAAAACCTCAACCACAAGGCAGCAGGGCGAATTACTTTTGTGTCGGAGCCCCACTGCTGCTTCCACCCACTAACGGTAGTGAGAACACCAACGGGCGGGCAACAAACAATGTTCACGCCGCACGCCTAACCGGCCACCAAGCGTCTGTGTGTGCAATCATATGATTCAAATTGGGGCATATCACAGGCTATGCAGAAAGGCTGACAATCGATCCATCAAAGCTAGTCATTCCAGGGACGAAGGCTCTATACGGTGTCTCACAAACGAGCGAAATGTACAGAGTAAGGGAAAAGACATTAAGCACAAGATTCAGTGTCAAAACAAGCTAGTCACAGACGTGAGGCAACAGAAAACGTATGTGGGGAACCGTAAAAGAGGACGGGGTGCATAGGGGTGAGTGAAATAAAACAAAACAACGGGGAGTGGTGGAGTATTCTTATCTCCGCTATAATATTCACGAAGAACATCGAATGGCCATTCGGCTTCTTTATGTTCTGCAGCAGTCCACAGAGAAGCCGGTGTTCAGCAAGTTTGTTCATCCGTCCTCCGTTAAATACTCACCTCCAGTTATAGGCGTGATTATTCAGTAACCAGATAGCCGGTCACATTGGCTTTGTGCTATTTAATGGTGAATCAAGAGACTAGCCCCGAAATCCCCACGCTCTGAGACTCTGTCTCTGTTTGTCCGCGACTGCTTTTTCATCTCGCTTGCAAAGGAAATGAAACTTGTTCGCAGTTACCTCCGCAAGGAAGGTATTCCTCGATCCGCAACCTGGGGACGTGCCCGATAGCGTGCAGCTCCACCACGGATAAATCGTCAACTGTACCCCGTAAGGGCGTTTCGCTGCCACGCGACCACAGCCAATCACGCGTGGGCTAAGTATACCGCAAGGATACTAGCCTCTACGCGGATTCGAACCGGTAATCTTATGATTGCAAGTCAGGCATGCCGACCACTCCGCTATCAGCCGAAACTCGTATCATACGTTACTGTCATATTCCATCCCAGTCTGTTACGGTGATGGCATAACTTTGTTCCTTCGTGCCACACAATGAAGCTCTCTGAGCTCTAAGCACTCACCTGCAGGCCATCGTGAACGGCGGTTTGAGTGTCATCGCTTTCATGTTCCATGAACCGTGGTTAGACCATCAGCAGTACGCCGGCACACGATGTCTATGCTTTGCTACCACGCAACCATCACCAGTCGCATAAGGGCTTAGGATACCGCGAGTGTCACCCGGTCCCCTGCGCAGTCTCGAATCCGCGACCTCGCGATTACAAGGCAGACGCTCTATCCTTTCGATCACGGGCCGTCACCGAGGTTAGCTACTGAGATTCTACCATATTATGGATAAGCTCTGGTGGCCGTTGCATTCAGTCGTGTGCATGGGCGTGACCTCTTCATCACTTGTACATCACCCCGCAAGCGGTCCTCAATACTAACCACCTCATCCCTAACCCTTCCTCTTGGTCCATTCTAGTACCACTTTCCCCAAATTGATCAATAAGCCCAATTATGTGAATCGAGTTATCACGTATCAACCAAAACGCTACTGGGCTCAGCGGTTGGACTCATGTGATCTCTAAATATGCTGTTCACTCAAATTCACTATTGTTTAAACAAATGGCTTACAGCACGTGCTCCGGGGCCGATATTGTTCTACTTATGGTAGATTTGATAACTGCTCAGAGCATTAAAGAGGCCTAACAGTGTTTGACCACCGATGCTTGACAAACGTTGCCCTTACCTGGGGGAGCACCAAGTGGTTGATGGGAGTACCCTTGATGTCTTTTCGTCAAATTAAGAATGTGTTTTACGCACCCATGAAGGGATCTAACACACACGCCGCGTACAGCAATAAATAAGGGAAATAAGTACATGTGGATAGATATAAAATCACAGTCGCTAACAAATCATGACTGAGCAAATAACGCTGGAGTAATTTACTAACGAATTCTTGAATGGTTGGATGTTTATCACGTCAAGTTCGGAAAGATAAACAAAACACGAAGCTTTAAGCGAACAATTGACATACATTAGCGTAAGGTCTGTTGCAGTTGTCAGCATAACAAAGAAGCAACTGGTCAAAACCTTAAAGTTGTGATCATGATGGCAGTCATCTGATCACATGAGTGAAGTCAGTCGCGCAGTGCCATCAATTCCTTCCCGTCTGGTGGTCGGCCACGGAAGTTGTAGTGTTTGTATCATCTTCTTCTGGACACCCAAGTCCGGGTTTGTCTGGCGTATGCATACTGCCTCAGTGGTGGCAAGTAGGCTTGATCTTACACGATGGTTATGCCTTGGTGGCATTCTGTAGAGAATCTGAAAGCGTGTGTGTTTGTTTATCTGGTGGCCTGTTTTGATTAGTTGGTTCGTAATCGCACTGTAGTTTGTCCTCTTCTCGCGATTGTAGAGCTACCCTGGGAGGTGTTTTGTTTCTGTTTTTGAACTTGACGTACTAAATGGACACTCTGCTAGAGTCGAATTTTTATCGTTCAAAAAGTATGACCGGCGGGGACCTGGCAATGTACTACCATAAACCCTTGTGTGAGCGTGCATAGTTTTGTAGCCCTGTCTGATCGAGGAGGTTGACACGCATTCGGACAACGCCCTGTGCAAGGGGCGGTTAGCATCAGTGAGTATTCTAGATGCAAGCTTGTTACATGAGTGGACAAGGCTGGCTGCGATGATGTTGACAAGATTCAACCTTGAAAAATGCTTCGGTAATCCGGCAATCATTTTCTAATCCTCATTCAGGGGACTAGGAAATATCACGGGAGAGCAATAAGTCCAGTAGCGTAACTCATACGGTAACAAAACGCTGGATCAAAAAACGCGCACGGAAAAAGACCTGTAACTTGTAACATCGAATGAGAGTCTTCCAACTTTGACGAATGTTTCCTTCAGCTGAGGGGGTTACGTAAACCCACTGCTGTGTCACTCCTCGGTTTTTTTTCTGGTGGAAAAGGTCAAACACAAGAGTCATTGCAAAGTTACTGACATTTAATTGGAATTTTCTGTTGGCATTTACCTTTGAACGACAAAAATCGACATGCTAGCATTATGAGGTGTTTAACGGTAGGCGATGGGATTTCGACCAAGCTGTGAGGTTGTCCAGGAGAGTTTGCAGTTTGGCCGATGATTCTATGCTTGGTTGATGGACACCGAAAATCACGTCGTCCGCATACTTCAGCAAGATGGCTTCTTCAGGGACGCGGATTGAGGTAGGGTAAATGGAAAGTAAGAATGGGGACAGAATCGCTCCCTGAAGAATACCAAAGTTCATGATGAGTGAAGAACAGTTTTTCCCTTGACCTGGTGCACCTGGTAAAATAACCAAAACAAAAGAAGAACAGCAGAAGGTTGAATTCCAGAACCTAATAGACCGCGCAACAGTATTT